CAGATGATCGTTGTCACTTACCTGGGTATCTCCCACTAACAGAGTGTCTGTGATTGGGCGGTGCCCCGCCCCCAACCTGCAGTTACTGTGTGCCACAGATCCTAGCAGCTCCCCTTTTAGTTGTGTTTTTCATTAAATAAACGTTTTGAACTTGCCCACTGACTGTCTCCTTGAATACTGGGTCCATCTGTCCTCGCTTCATGACCCTTTTATGATATATTAAACAACAAATATATTGTTATAGACTGAATGATTAGCAGTTTTATTAATAGTTATATTCTTAGCAGTTATTGATGCTGCATGCACTCATATTGCAATAAGGATACATTTATATTGTGCAGCTGAAAAAATAAATAGATTTATTTGACCAATAAAATTTCAGGTAAATTATTATGCATGTACAGTCATGTTCAGTGTAATGATAAATCTTCTTCATGCTCCAGGGTTACCTGTGGAGTACCACAGGGATCAGTGCTAGGACCAATTAATCAGCTATATCTGTCTTTAAACCAAGATAAAGCTAACCCATTACATTACAGGCATTTCTGAAGACAAAAACACGGATGACTCTTGAATTTCTGCTCCTGAATGCAGGCAAAACAGAAGTTATAGTCTTTGGACTATATTATTTTTGATCAGGACCTGTCATTTAAACCTCATTTCAAAGAGGTTTCTAGAATTTCCTTCTATCATCTGAGGAATATTGCAAAAATTAGAAATATCCTGTCCTGGGGTGATGCTGAGAAACTAGTCCATGCATTTGTTACTTCAAGGCTGGACTATTGTAATTCTTTACTATCAGGAGGTCCACAGCTGTAGTTAAAAGCCTTCAGCTGATCCAAAATGCTGCAGATGGAGTTCTGATGAAAATTAAAAAGAGAAATCATATCTCTCCTATCCTGGCTTCCCTTCATTGGCTTCCTGTTAAATCCAGAATAGAATTTAAAATGCTGCTCCTCACATATAAAGCCTTAAATGGCCAAGCTCCATCTTATATCAGAGATAAGAATGTTCCCTAAATTCCTAACCTAGCACTTCGCTCTCAATCTGCAGGTTTACTAGTGGTTCCTAGAATTTCTAAACGAATTGGAGGCAGATCTTTTAGTTGTCAGGCTCCTCTCTTGTGGAACCAACTACCAGTTTTAGACCGTGAGGCAGACACCCTGTCTACTTTTAAGGCTAGGCTTAAAACTTTCCTTTTTGATAAAGCTTATAGTTAGAGTGGCTCAGATTATCCTGAGGTATCTCTATAGTTATGCTGATATAGGCTTAGAGTGTTGGAGGACATAGGGGTCCCTTTTTCCATCTTTCTGCTTCATTCTATCTATTCTCCCATTCAGCAGAATTTGTTAGTTCAATCTCAACACTGTGCTCTCTGCTTTTTCTCACAGTAGCTTCATCTGATTGGTTCCTGTTTGGCAGTGACGCCATCCTGGAGTGAAATATCAGCTGTGCTGCTGCCATCAACACCTTTGTTTATAGATGTTCGAGATCGTCAAATTTTTTAGAGTAGTCCTGTTTCTCTGAATGTGACTGATTATTGAACTTTATTTGTTTGTATCTATCTCCTCAATTAGAACATATTGAATCTGTTTGATATTATAAAAATTTGTAATTAGAACTTAGTGATGGAAAGATTTCCTCCATCTTCTCCCACTTAGTCCTGTCAGGGTCACGGTGCGGCCTGTGTATATCTCCGGCAGAACCCATGCATGTACAGGGAGTACACACAAACTTTGTGCAAAGACCCTGGGGCAGGAATTAGAGCCAGAACCTTCTTGCTGCAAGGCAAAAGCGCTACCCATTGCTTCACCGTGTAGTCTGGAAAGAATTAATTCTTTTAAAAATCACAGCAATCTTCAAAGAAGCTTTTTTTAAGGATGGTACCCATCATTTTTCCCCTGAGGAACAAATTGTTTTTTTTAGGTTGAAGCTCCTGATATATTCTCTGCTTCAGAGGGAGATGAGCTTGTTTACTTGTTAATGGCTCAAATGGGCTGGCAACTCGGGTAGCAAACAGGTGAGACTGATCTGCTTCTCTCCTTAAGCAGCTACAAACACCTTAAAGTCCGTCTGTGTGCATTCGGCATGACTTTGCATGCTGCTGATATGTGATGTGGGTGCTCACGCCCCCCTCCCAGGCAGTCTCTCTAGCTGTGCTTGAAAGGGACGGTGAGTCACACTGGAAAGTCCAAAGCAGTGGCAGCATATGGCCCAGTGGATTAAGGTATTATGTGGTGAGGCAAGTGACAGAGAAAGCCTCCTCTAAGCACTGATTTTGCTAATTGCTTACCAAGCCAGCATCTATAACTCTGGACACCAAAATGGCAGCAACTTAAAACCTTCAATCCAATTTCTCTGTGCCATCCTCCAACGTGATGAGTCGTGGTTGTGCCCAAAAACAAACTGTGATTATTGTTCACCGGACCACAGTGGAGCAGAAAGCTATAAGGACCTAAACCTAATGTCAAACAATTTAACTGGCCAGGGGGAAAAAATCACTTATTATCTACGACAGATATTGATCCGATTAAGCTGTGCATAATGTTTGTTTTTTGGACCAAGAACACACAACGACAAAATCCCTCAGTATAATATCCTATCCTAGTATTACTACTAATTGCCAAAAAAAAACATTACTGTTAATTGGAAGACGGTGAAATCCCCAACTGTAATTGAATGGGAACAGAGACTAAAACAGATTTATTTGAAGGGGAAAAAAATGACTGCTTCATTACAGCTGAAAACTGACCTTTTAATCAGAGATAGCGCATAATTAAAGAATATTTAGATCTATAAATTACAGGGTTTATAATGAAGAAAGAAGAGGGAAGAAAAAAATTATATTACTATGGAAACCTGCTTAACATTTGTGGGTGTTTTTTTTTAATATACAAATATTTCACATCACTATATTGTTGTATATTATTGTACCAGTTGTATCATGTTTGCTGAGATGTGGAGAACATTCATATTATGTAGAGCGAGATATATGGACAAAATATCTTTAATATTATTATTATTATTATTGTTTTCACTTGTCTCAGATAATAATGTTCTTTTTGTATTGTTCTATAAAAGAATTGAAATAAAAAGTTCTAAAAAAAAATCCCTCAGGATTCTACCTCATGTGAAATTCAGTTAAACTGATCGACCAGTAGCAGAGGGAGATCTGGGCCAAAAGACAGTTTGTTTGATTATTCTGGTAGTTTTTGGACTTTGCTATTTAATTTATGACGTAAAATTGCCTTTGCAATTTAGTTAGGCTAAAGGGTGAGCTTGGTCATGTGTTTAACCAGTTCTATTTACCCTTTTTCATCCAGCAAAACCTACAAGCTGATCCTCAGCGCTGATTATTTTAGTTGTGCAATAAGCTTTAAGCAGTTAAACTGAACTAACAGAATTATCCTTTAAATTATTGTAACAATGACCAAATATAAAAAATCACATACACAACATGTCATAAATAATGGTTTTCTAATTGTATTGCTTTGGATCTCATATATGGTTATATATGGTTATCAAAACGTCTGGGCTATAATATACAACGAATCATATATAAGACTCAAACTCACTGCGGATCCAGACATTTGAATTGAGAAAGCTTCCTGGAGAGGTGGCGAAACGTCTTCAAATCTTGAAAACCAAGTCCAGTGGATATTTTTTGAATTTTTACGGAATGACTATGACCTGGATGACTGAGAACCTTCATCAGCAACGAATCATATTACCAATATTACCATAGCAGAAGTAAAGAAAAACTCTTTTGAACATAAGTGTGGCAAACAAAACTTTGAGAAGTTTTAAAAGTTTTTAATCCATAGTCTTCCCTAAGCTTGGAGGTCCAAAAAAGCAACAATTTAAATATGTAAATAAATAAATAACCTTAATATAAACCCTCAATGTGACTCTATAGCTAAAATAAAGAACCACCACAAATAAATAAATCTAATATATAAATAATTTCATACGCTATGAAATTAGATATGCTTGTTTTTTGTTTTCTTTTTTACTATCAGTGTTTCATGGTTTTGGGTTTGCTTGACTTTAATAACCAGTCAGGTGTTAAATATATATATTTGAAGTACCACAGAGACAGCTATTTTTATGGTATAGTAAACTACGGGAACTATTTAGATGGTTTCTGTTTGCTTGAGCTGTAGGCTGCAAATTAAAGCACTGAATTTTAACATCATTATTCTATTGTGTTGTTTTTTTTTTCTCTTTTTTTTAAACAGCCCTTGGTGAACATTTTGTTTGTGAAAAGGACCTAACCAAAAAGCTTTGCTTACTTATTGCAAGCAAAAGCTAGAAAACATTACTCTGACTCTAATTCATTTTTCTATGTGTTCTCAGTGAATTACACTGCAATAAATAATTAACATTTTATCAGTGTTTTAATGAACTGCAATATAATACTTTTGATAATATATATGTGATGTAACTACTCAATAAATCAGTATTTTTTTTTAAATATGTGGAACTTGTGGCAGTCCAAACAAATTTAATTTTTCCTGCAAATATTTTACAAATGAAAATCATTTTAGAATCAGTCTTTTTAATGACATCATTTTTAAAGGAAATCTGACATAAATATTATTTTATAACAGAATTATTTGGCACTTTTTGCACTCTGTACAATCTGTTCTTTCTAATTCAGTTGCTTCTTACTTTACTGGAAACGGCTAGTTGCATTTATTAGTTAATTAATCAGTTAGATCTAAATAAGAATGTATATAATTTCAACAAAATCTCACTGAGACTATATTGGTAATTCAAATTAAAAGGTTTAAGGTGAAAGATTAAACCTGAGACAAAATGTACTGAAAATATACAGGACAAATGATCTGCATTATACAAAATAAAACATTATATATATTTAGATCAGTAAAACAGAGTAGGTGTGTTTCCATAAAATTAAAGCATAATCTGGAGAGAATAAAATTCGGGACTATAAAGGGAAGGGATGAGCAGATGGGGTGCTAATAATTTAATCTCACCTTTAGGGAAAGAGTTTGGTTGAACCACATAAAGAAACGCGTGGACCATGTGAAAAAGGATTCCTATGGTCCCCGGCTCGTAGTATGCGTGGGTGTCATAAACCGCTGCGGGAACAAACCCAAAGTCCAGCGGTTCCACCGGCGGAGGGGACCGCTGCCTGCGGGGGTCTGACCTGACCCCATCCCGTTGGCCGTCCCTTTCCTCGGCATGCTGCTCCGCACAGGTAGCCCCCCACCAAAGCAGCAGGACGAGCCACTGTGTCCAAAACATAGCTCAGTGGTAATAATAACTTTAAAAAAAGCACCAGCAGACCAGAGTAAAGCGCGCGTGGATCCAGTCGGGATGGAGAAAGCAGCTGACACCTGTTCCTCCAGCAGGACCAGAAACACCTTCAAACATCCAGCAGCCGTTAGCTTCTGGTTCTCCTCCACGGACTCATCCCTGACATCCTTCCCCGAACACCTGCCGCAGTGTGTGGGACTCTCACTTTGCCGGTGTCCTCGGGTTCACCGGACCGAGAGCTAAGAGCAGCCTAATCTCACGTGCACGGAGAAGAGGACTCAACTGCGCTCGTGCTCGCCAGAAAACTCTACTGCGCATCTGCGGCGCGTGACCCTCAGCCACCACCTGTTCATGTAAACTAATAGCTGCTCCCTCGCTCCACAGATTCCCCCGATTGGGATTTTTAGTCACATTTTTCAGGTTATCAGACGAATTCAATATAAAATTGAGAAAATAAAAAGCAAACTTACGGCTAACTTAAGTGAAACGTGTGTTATATCCAGTGGTCTAGTTGTAAAAAAAAAAAAAAGATTTATTTAATTATTATTATTATTGTAGCACACATAGCCTAATTAATATAGTCTATTAACCTAAAGAAATATGCATGGTATGGTTGTTACATGTCAGGTATGCTGACCTTGAACAAGGCACCTTACAGTGGAACAGCAGTCAGTCACTAGCCTGACGTAGTAGTCCTATTCAATTCTAGTCAGAATATGAGTCTGATACTGCTCCATAGAGCTGTGATTATGGGGCGTGTTTCGAACGAACCAGGAAAAAAAATGCCTCTGCACTCAATTGGATAGACCTACAACCAATAAGAGCGACGGAGTGCGTGACCTATGTTAAGCGAGGCATAGTTGTTGTCAACAAAAATCAAAGCGTGCAGTTGCACGCCTAGAATAAGATGAGCCTTGATCGTGTTTCTCTGTTCCTCTTTTAAAATGAATTTGCTGTCGATATCTTCTAGAACAGACCTAATAGCAGAATCTACACACCTCAACTCTCCAGCGGCAGCCATTGTTGTTGTCACCCAAGTGCTTTGGTGACGTGGTTGATTACGTTACTGTTGATCATCTGTCCATCATCGTATAAAGCCCGCCCTGACAATTTGATTGGCCCGCCAGATATTGTGCGAGCTAGAGTCCTGCACGGGTCGAGTTTTACCAACCCGAACCCGTTAGGATGACTACCGAACCCGACCCGTCACCCGCGGATATCTTCAGTTCAAATCCAAACCCGACCCGACCCGTTGATATTTAACTTGCAACCCGACCCGTTAACACATCCAGTAATAGGCTATAGTACGCTGCGCTGCAGAACAGCGCCATTAACACTGCAGCAGACGTGTATGCACTGACTGTGGCCTTTTTGGAGGGAAGCCCACACTGCCGCCGGCAGGGCTTTAAGCTACAGCAAGGGTGACCCCAGTGCCTGATTGATATAACATTTCTGATGTCCATAACAACACACACGCACAAAAAAAAAAATCACCAACTACCCGCCCGCACTAAAAAAATATCTGCCCGACCCCGCGTACCCGTTTATTTTTATTTATGTATTTTTCCCCCGCAAAAGAGCATTTTAGCGGGTGACCCGTCAGGGACCTGCGGGTACCCGACCCGTTGCAGGACTCTAGAGTAGAGACTGACACGGGAGTGGATTTTCACTCCTGTCCCGTCCCACTCCCACAGAAAAAAATTGTGTCCCGTCCCGATCCCGGGCCAGAGTAGAAATCTAAATCCTGTCACGTCCCACTCCTGGTGAAATTACTCCCACTCCCATCCCGCTCCCATTCAGAATGACTCCTGCTCCTGCTCCACTCCCATTCTTGTTGTTTTTGAGCGCGGGTGAAAAACTCAGAGCGGAAGTTACTATTGGTTTGCTCCCGCTCCCGTCTGCTCCCGTTAATGTTTAATCCTGTACCGTCCCAATCCCGTGATCGTTACTAATACTGACTCCCATCCCACGGGAATCCCACGGGAATCCCGTGACCCGTGGGATTCCCGAAAAAATGTCAGTCTCTACTCTAGAGCGAACATACTCGCGCTACTATTGAGCAACCAGATCGAACTTCCCGACCTCAAACGTTGTGGGCGGGACTAAGTTCGGAATGGCACCCAGCCTAGTCAGTCCCTGGACCGGCATGGCTATCACTGCCCCTACATGGTTAGGGACTAATGCAGAGGACAAATTTCCCACTATAATCAGCTTCATAGTCATGGTAGGCCACTTCTTGTTTTTATTTATTTTGCTCAGGCTACTAGTAAGCAGGGGCAGACCTAGATGGGGGGCCAGGGTTGGCCATGGCCACCCCTACCATTTTTCCCCCTCTAATACAGACGGTGGCAGCAGTAATACTCTGAAGGGGAATGTTCAAACTTATTAAATATTTACATTTTTCATATATTAACAACTGATTGACAACAGAAACACTGCAGTTGATTATGCACATCAATATACAAACATTACAGATGATAGATACAGAATTCATGCTCTTTTATGAACTAAATTTTGAATTATTTGGGGTAAAGATAAAATTACCTGGCTCTGCAAGACATCTAGGAGTTTTCAGTGAAATCATAGATAAAAAAAAAACTACTTTAATAATAACATAAAAATTCATTAAATGTGGATATTAGTAGATTTATATATCTTTTTTTTTTTTTTTTGCAAAATGATTATTGATAAAAGCAGGTAATGACAATTGAAATATGTTGGTCCCAGAACTCAAACCTTAAAGAATTTTGTCCAATAAACATTTTATTTACACAGCGTAGATGTTCAAATATATGCGTCTATTTGCTATCAAATGCTGTAGGAAAGTATAGTTTGTCTTTATTTAGAAAATATGGATGTTGTGCTTGTTCCTGTTGGAACAGTGTAGATTGACCCTGAGCTTCTGGTGCCTGTCGACCGCCACTCAATGTTCATTGGTTATTGACTGGCCACCCCTATTAGGATTTTCTGGCTACGCCTCTGCTAGTAAACCCACAGCCTGCCAAATATTCAAAGGGCAATATTACTGCCATTATGGTTAATATATAGTAGACATTTTACACATTCAGGGATAAAATATCACAAGGGATGGTATGGTATTCATTTGCTGTGTACTTGATTGATATTTTTTTGAAGCGAAGCTTTTTAAATTGCCTTGTCGCTGAGATTTGCTATAAATCTTATTTCTTCATTATTTCTTTGCAGAGAGCTGTTCTGTAAATTTAACTGAACAAGAAAATGTTCAGTCCCTGTAACCTGCTGGCCTCTAAGCATATGAAAGGTTGAGAAACGCATGAAGCTCAGGTTCAAAAGAGGGAAATCCCAGACATTTTACCAGTATGGGCTGCATCACAATGCAGTGTTGGGACACATTTCTTCTAACATAGAACTGGGCCTGTAACTTCCCCAGTTAAAGGTCATTAATATGATGTTCTAGAACTAGATGTTTCCAGGAAGAAAAGCTCTCGCAAGTGTATCTAAGTGATGACTGAGACCCCTTCAGAGTCTGTACTGGTGAAACAGTGGGCTGCAGTGTTCCCACTCTTAACAGAGAGCGCAGTGACGTTTTTCAGTGAAACACCCACCCTGTTCCCTTGCTTTCACTCATTCACATCATACAACACAGGGTTGCAAAACAAAGTCTGTTTATTCTCCTAACATAAAAGGAGATGCACATAAAAAAAAAAAATCCTCAGGATGATGGTTTCATACATTAAGAAACACACTAGTGATGGCCAGTCCCATTTTTATAACATATGTAGAATCATTCTGCTTCTTTAACAGGGATGCTTCTTCTATCCCCGCTGTTTTTGCCTGTGTTGATTTGGAGTAAAGCCCAATCATTTCCTCTTTGCTTCTACTTTAGTGGCTCCAAAATCCTTTGCTTCCACCTTAAAAACATAATAGTGGTACATACATAACAAAATAATAACATAAAAAAATAATAATTCTCACAATCTTACAATTGAATGATACTCAAATAACTTTAAAAAGAAAAATCTGAAAAGTGCGGTGTGCATTTGTATTCATAAAACTGCCTTTAGAAATCACCCAATTATACCAGCCGTATTTAATATTGGGATAAATGCCGCTGTTTGGTAACTATTGCACAAAACTGGGAACAATTGCAAACTAAAAAGTAAAGGCTGATCTAAACTGACAGGCTGGGTAAACAAAGCATTCATGATGGGAGCATAATGCTTCCGCCGCATTATTCTGTGTGAGACGGCTTCTTCAGAAGGAGCAGTGAAGCTGGTCAAAGATGATTAAAAAAATAGATTAGATCAAAGCTTAGTCATGCATTAAAAAGGCCAAGTCCAAACCCAAATCCAACTCTGAAATATGGCAGCACTAGAAAACTGATACTCCCAGAGTTTCTTAATCTAGTTGGAATAAAATTAAGCTAATTTATTATTAGGAATAGTGCAAAAGGTAATTGTAGAAATATGCTTAGCGGGTAGAGACTTACCTTAAAAGTAGTTTAAAAAAAAGTTAAAGAAAAACCAAATAAGGAAAAATCTAGTTCTAAAAATCTTTTAGGCATTTGGGGCTAAATACAAATGAAAGCCACACTTTTCACTCATTCTAGAATACAACATGTTAAAACTTTGCAGTCTTATCCTTTTTCGCACCAACTTGTATCTGATTGCCCCAAATTTAAGTCAAAGTTGGTAGGTGGTAGCATGAAAACATTACAGGTGAGAGGGATACATTATTTTTGCAAGGTAATGTAAGATAAGAGGATTTTTTTTTTTGATTGACTGAGAAAAAAACCTTGATGCAATATTTGTGACGTGATATGATAAGTTTTGGTCTGAGAGATAAAACGCTACGATCTTGTCTTTTTGTTCAAAGTAGAAAATGATAATAATGCAGGCGAGGAAACAAAAAAAGCCTGCAGTGATTTTGTATTATCAACTGATTAACAGCAGATTTCACAACGATTTGGGTCACCAGTGCACAAACACCAAGTGCAACAGGACACATCGTCTTCATTAATTGCAGCCGGCGAGCAATGCGGGCATCAATTTAACTCAGCGACAGGTTAAATCTGCTGAGCGCACACCAGCGTAAACATAAACAATTTCACTATTTTTATCTGCATACCAGACTCTACTTTCTCACCACTTCTTCAATTTCAATGGTGGATCACAATACCCACAAAAAAATAAATGCTTAAAGCTTATGAGCTGCAGCTATAGTTTCTGGCAGCTTTATGTACAAATTAGGCAGAGTTTGAAAACTGAAAATAAATACAAACACATTCACACAGTGATATAAAGAGAGAACACTCAAAAAAAAAAAAAATGTGTTCACGGATGCTTTTGTTCCTCGCACCTTTTTAATGTCTCTTGGCCCACATGTATTTATGTGTAGTCGAACAATTCAATTTTAGAAAATACACCCAACCCTTGCAATAAAAATGTCCTTTAAAGGATTGAATTTGTTCGATTTTCGTTAAATAAAAAGTAGACATCTGACGACTGTTGTTTAAAAACACCTCTTTGCTCTGGCAAGAATTGTGCTTTTCAACACACACACACACCACACAGTCCAGCTGTAGTGTTCCATCCTCCATTTGATTTCCTATCAGCAGTTTTACTCCTTGTTTGCTTGCTATCACTCATGTTTCCTCTCGTTCCGAGTCCTCGTGGACAAACCAACTCCTGCAGGACCATCTGATATGGCCTCTGATATAACAGCATTATGCCTTGGCTGGTTTACCAGTAATAAATAAATAAATACTCCAAGAGTCAGGTGCATAAGTGCGAATCAGGTCTGAGCGGGCTCCACGACCCTCATCCAGTCCCCGGACCTTGTTGTGGTAGTCAGGACACCAGCTGGTGTCCTGACTACCACAGCGTTCACTTCACCAGCTGGTGTCCTGACTACACTTCAGCGTTCAGTCTATCCGGTTCCCACAGATGGTGAATCGGTCTATCTCCAATAAGTCTTTCTTGGGTGTTCTGAGTTTAAGCCCATCTTCCTCCAGTCCTGTGTCAGTGTTGATGACTTTGTCTTCTTCGTCCTCATCCAGTGTTGTCAGGAATGTGTCTGAGTCACTCTTTAGGATTGTGGAGGAGGCGCTCTCTGGTTTATCTGTGAGTAGAGAAATGCCCGATGCCGGTGATACTCCTGCTTTGTCTGACGTAATCTCTGTGGAAGAAAACACATTGAGAGATTGTGAACAAGTGAAATTCTTTGGTAACCATTATTACAGGCAGACAAATTTGTAAACATTTAATTAAAGATGTTTGAAAAACCTTGAAATTACTTTTTGGTTTTATGGGTTAGTTAGCTTGAGATTTAGAATAATCTCCCACTAACAAACCCTTGAATTTTAAAATATATTTAAACAAGAAAGAAAACATTGAAACATTATTAACATTATTATTGTTATATCTTTAGTTCAATTCGGTTTCATAGTGCATATCATTTCAACGCTCTTTACAAAAAAGCTGATTAGTGGTAAGCTTTACAAACACTAGAATAAAAAACTGAATGTTTTTTTCAAGGATTTATTGCAGGGGAGAAGGGAGAGCTCTAAAGCTGTGATGAGATGTGAATTTACAAAATTAATTACATGTTAAGCTACATTAATATAAAGGAACGGAGGGGAGACAGGGGGAAATAAAGCATGTAGCTTTTGAGTAATAATAAAACATTAGGAATGCAGAGAAAAAGGAAAGAAAAGAAACAAGAAAGTAACTGCAATAATGATAATAGCCACCAAAAATAAATAAATAAATAAATAAATAAATAAGAAATGTTTATCTGAATGTTCTAGTTAATATAATAAATACCAAAGCAATGCAGAAGGAACGTGTCTGGGAATGTTTTTTTCAACTAGACTAAGATTGACCTATACAGCAGGCTAAATAATTTTGCCAAAAAGTCTAAATAGCAATGATTTACGACCAATATTGCAATATTTAATTAAAATCAAGAATGTAGTCGTTTGACTCTATGGTTTTTAACTTTTTTTTTTTTTTTTTACATGCTCATCCATAGTAATCTGTTGCATGACTTGCTGCAAACTTCTAACTCCTACTAACATGCATGGATCTGTTTGCTAGCAGAAACTCTCTCTTCCGTTTTGTGTTGCGGCAAACTTATTTAAAGTGCATGATTACCACCTAAAGAGCTGGAGTAGGACATTTTGTGTCTTACTCTTGTTAAATCTAAAGTGACCATAATGAACCGCCTCTGCGATTTGAAAACTGCATTTTGTTAAATTGCAGATGCAATTAATTGCCCAACCCTACTTTACAGGGATCTAACTCTCTAGGTGTAAAGATATAAAACAAACTAGAAAAGTAAAACATGCACTTCTAAGTATGGTTGAGCATGTATGAGGCTGTGGGTCAATTTCCTCTCTCAAGCCTCTGGGAGAACTCAGGTGAGAGAAGAGAGCACTAGTCAGCACTCAGGCTCCCGTGTTTTAAACCTACATAATTACCATGAGTGTCAACAAATGTAAGTTTGAGTTCTGTTTATGAAAGAGAGGAGATTAATGACCTTGTTGAGGTGTAGCTTGAGCATTTTTGGCGCGGTTGGCTCTGGAGTTTGCACGGCTGGAGGAGACCGAAGGAGGAGGGTCGAATAGTTTTTCTTCCATCTTGGCCTCTTTGACAAACATGCAAGACGTTCCCAGGAGAACGATGCTGTTGAGAACCTTTAAAGTGATCATCCTGCACAGAAACACACAAGATAGGTCAAATAAAACACAAACATTTGAACATATAAGGCGGAAGAATGTTGTGTTTAATTACCCCAAGTAAAACAGCAGCACACACATGAAGGAAAGTGAACCCTGGATCTTCACTGAGCTTGTCACGACTCTAACCAGCTACAAAAGAAATAAAAAAAATAAAAATAACTGAAAAAATGCAAACAATTTAGCTGCAGATATATATGCATATAAATATAAAAAGTGAGGCAGACCAGCAAAGCTAAAGGAAGTGGGATGAAGCCCATTCTTCTGGACACCGAGTCGCTGTAGTCGGTGTAAGCCTGCCAACATTTTCATAACAGAAACATTAATGACATGTAATACTTCATCTACACAGCTAAACAACAAATCTGCCACCCAAAAAAAAGATCATTATATGTGGAATAAAAACATTTGAGCTGTTGGTTTATTATAATCAAGAATTTGAACATTACAGTTTTGTATCTATAAACTACAGGTCAAAAACATTCAAAACAAATATTAATAATGTAATAACAAATATATTGATATGTTACCTTATATGAGCTGAATCAAACCTTATAATTTTTTATTGTGTTTGTAATTTTCTTTTTATCAAAACAGGCTTATGTTGTACATGAGCTCTTGGATCTCAATGAGAAAACCGGCATAAATAAAGGTGAAATGAAATGTTGTAAAACTTAATGCTGAAATGCCCTGCAGACACATTCATACACCTCTGACTGACTATATGCTGCTATACACTCATTTCTAAAATCAGGTAACTTCAGAGGCTAACTTGATGCACAGAGATTTATTTAAGACAATCAGACAAATCAGCTATGAACATAAATGTTTTGAAACACTTTTCAGATTTTTATTTGGCACTGCTTAGTTTGCCCTTTTCTAAGTAAAAAACAGGGCGATAAAAGAGATACACATTTTACACCATGTAGCCAAACATCTGTGATTTGTAAATAGTCTGCAGAAAAGTTTGATTTTCAAAAATCATAGTTCTGCGGTATCTCTTTATTTAGGATTTTCTGCACTGCCACCAATTCAACAGTTCATTTACTCACCCATTATCCTGAGTTATGCTAATATGTCCCTTTTACACGACTACAGTAAAACAGGAAGGATACATAGTATTTCCTCAAGTTCTTTAAGTTGGTTAACTCACATTTTTCTGTCGACTACTGACGAGGTCGAAGGCCAAGCTGGCTCTGTATTCTCCATATACCTGAAACACAAGGAAACTGCATTTAAACCAAGAAATAAAAAAACAACAAACAAAGCCACAGCTAAAGCAGGTGATATCATGTTTGTTACAGAGAATGCACGTAAGCAGATGGTAAAAGTGGAGACCACTTAAAAGGCTGAGGGTTGTGTGATTTGATTTGACAGTGGTGGCCGAGTTAATCCCTTCTTGTGGGACAGTTTCTCTTAAGTAATTATGAATACAATGTTATGGTTGTTGGGGAGTGGCGGCCTTAGTGGTTAGAGTATAGAGCTTGGAATCCTGAAGTTTTGGTTAGAAACCCACTCCCACAGACCGCCAGTCTGGGTCTCTGAACAAGACCCTTAACCTTGCACTGCTCCCCGATCGCCCCACGATGGCAGCCCACTCCTCCCCAAAGGGATGGGTTAAATGCAGAGGTAAATTTCTCCAATTTGAGATCAATAAAGTTCAATTATAGGGGAGATTGAGCGATATGAAAAATTGATAGGGTTGATAGGAAAATTCTGCTTTCAAAAACAAGTTTTTGGGGGAGGGAGTTTGAAAAAAAAAAACACCTTTGAGGTTTCACCACAGTTATTAAATACATTTTATAACATTTTTAGCTTATGCGAGTTAAACGTTAAAGAAACAACTTCATCATTGGCACCACCTGTTAAAATTCTAACAGTTAAATACGTATGAACAGACAACCATGTCATTGCACTAAAATTAACAAAATAATAGGTTACTACAAATTATTTTCATTTCAAAACTTTCATTTGAAACACTAACTGGTAGATTTTAGTCAAATATCTTAATATAAAAGTCTGTAAGATATCCTAGTCCTAATCCTAATCTAAACCTTCCTAATCTAGAGAGCCCGCATTGTACTGGAGGACTTCACGGAACTGACCCCCAGCTTTGAACTCCAGCTATGTTTGTTAGACCTGTTTAAGTCATGGATTGCCCACAATGAACACCATGTTCAAGCACGCCCTCTGCCAGAGGTCAATGGTCGATTTTGTCATATAAATTGGTGCTACAGCTGGGAAAGATAAAAAATAACACCTTGAGGACAAGAATCGGACAGTCCTGAGCCAAAGAAAATGAGTGTATATAAAAGATGGATTACGTAGAATAGGTCCATCCACAGAAAATGTCATACGCACTGTTATACAAACTGTTCCATCAATCCTTCCTTTATGTTCCCCTAAAGTTTATATCTTTATTGTCCTAAGAATTCCTTGTTTCATCACACAATGTTGGCATATATGCCTGATGATATATGCCTAATGAACCTGATCCTCAAAAGTCAAAAAAATTACCGGTATGTGACATTCCTGTCTGTGAGGTGTATACATAACTGAAGAGTAGGACTATTTGTATGCAGGATTAAAACCAAAACCAGGGCACTAAATGGGCATCATAATACTTTTTTAGTAACATCTGACAAATTAAAGGAATAAATGTGACCAACTGAGAAAACTTTGTTAAGTCACTTAATAGAGAAAATGAAATAAAAGCTTACCCTACTTCACTTTAAATATCAAAACAGGACTTTTAGAATTATAAATATGGATCCAAATAATGTACTTCCAGAATGTTACCCCTCTCTTAATCAGATTACATAAAGCTCATTTTCATATTTTTGGGAGGGATATCAAAAACATAGAAACAAATAAAATAACCAACCAACTTAGCAAAAACAATGTGGCAACTTTTTGGGAAAGTATTTGCTTTAAACTTTACATGACACTTAATAAAAATCCGCATTTTAAACCAATAACTATTGAATAAATTCAGTTAGTGGCAGAAACAGCTAAACAAATAGAAGCAAAGACACAGGATAACAAAGACATTTAACATCATAAATTTGTGAAATTTTCCATGAGACCAAATAAAGAGGATTATTATTAAAATACTCCTAACAGTTTAAGACTATTGTATAAAACTAGCCTACCGACAGTGTGGCAGTGGTAGTGAAAACATTACTAATTAATTAAGCACAGTGCTGCAATTTTATGAATTAGAAAAATTGACTATTCACAAAAAAACTAACCCATGTACTAAAGTCGATCAAGAGGACTTGTATAATTAATGGTTGTGATGCATGCATGTCTACACCATTATCGATCTACCAACATAGCAATAAAATTAAGTACAAAACTAGAAAAGCTCTCTGAGACTGCAGTCCTCCACCAAACAGCTAATTTGGCCCCATATTGGGACTTAGATCTAAAGCTAAAACTTGCTTATGATCTGGATCATTAGCAAATTCAACTGAAGTGAGCTTTAGCATGTGGTGCACTTCTAATAAAAATTTCCCTGAAATCCTTTCATATCCAGTCTGCAGCCTCTGGTGTCTGTTCTGCTTTAACCTTCTTCATTCACTCTGCTTTCTTCTCTGATCAGCAGAGCGAGACTTTGAGCAAAGCATGGCCTACTTTTCCAACCGGGTTTTGTTTTTTTTTGTCTTCAGTATAATACTTCCATACTTTTTGAGTTCAGTGCTGAAGCTGTCAATGCTGCCACCCTATGGTTTAGAGGTGAATTGCTTGTTCCGCCAAATAATGTTTGAGAATCGTTTATGATATCCTGTACCCGTATTATGATCTGGATTATCACCAAAATGTAATGTATTGTTACTTGGCATGAGAGACACCTTTGGTAAAAATTTACTTAAAATCTGTTCATAACTTTTCAAGGAATCCTGCTTACAGTCAAACAAACACAACCGAAAACATAACCTACAAGGAGGAGGTAACAAAGCATTATACACTCAATTCAATTCAATTCAGTTTATTTATATAGCGCCAAATTCACAACACATGTCATCTCAAGGCACTTTACAGTTCAACCAGATCATACAGTCAAATTGATACAAAGTTTTCTATCTCACCGGCCACTTTATTAGGTACACCTGTCCAACTGCTCCTTAACACTTAATTTCTACGCAGCCAATCACATGGCGGCAACTCAGTGCATTTAGGCATGTAGACATGGTCAAGACAATCTCCTGCAGTTCAACCCGAGCATCAGTATGGGGAAGAAAGGTGATTTGAATGAATTTGAACGTTGCATGATTGTTGGTGCCAGAAGGGCTGGTCTGAGTATTTCAGAAACTGCTGATCTACTGGGATTGTCACGCACAACCATCTCTAGGGTTTACAGAGAATGGTCCGAAAAAGAAAAAACATCCAGTGAGCGGCAGTTCTGTGGGCGGAAATGCCTTGTTGATGCCAGAGGTCAGAGGAGAATGGCCAGACTGGTTTGAGCTGATAGAAGGGCAACAGTGACTCAAATAACAACCCGTTACAACCAAGGTGGGCAGAAGAGCATCTCTGAACGCACAGTACGTTGAACTTTGAGGCAGATGGGCTACAGCAGCAGAAGACCACACCGGGTGCCACTCCTTTCAGCTAAGAACAGGAAACTGAGGCTACAATTTGCACAAGCTCATCAAAATTGGACAATAGAAGATTGGAAAAACGTTGCCTGGTCCGATGAGTCTCGATTTCTGCTGCGACACTCGGATGGTAGGGTCAGAATTTGGTGTCTACAACATGAAAGCATGGATCCATCCTGCCTTGTATCAACGGTTCAGGCTGGTGGTGGTGGTTTCATGGTGTGGGGAATATTTTCTTGGCACTCTTTGGGCCCCTTGGTATCAATTGAGCATCGTTGCAACGCCACAGCCTACCTGAGTATTGTTGCTGACCATGTCCATCCCTTTATGACCACAATGTACCCAACTTCTGATGGCTACTTTCAGCAGGATAATGCGCCATGTCATAAAGCTGGAATCATCTCAGACTGGTTTCTTGAACATGACAATGAGTTCACTGTACTCAAATGGCCTCCACAGTCACCAGATCTCAATCCAATAGAGCATCTTTGGGATGTGGTGGAACGGGAGATTCGCATCATGGATGTGCACCCGACAAATCTGCGGCAACTGTGTGATGCCATCATGTCAATATGGACCAAACTCCCTGAGGAATGTTTCCAGCACCTTGTTTAATCTATGCCACAAAGAATTGAGGCAGTTCTGAAGGCAAAAGGGGGTCCAACCCGTTACTAGCATGGGGTACCTAATAAAGTGGCCGGTGAGTGTACATGTAATAGAAAAATTTCAATGGACTAATCACATGTAAGATTTTGCAGGTTGTTAAATTACAACTTCAGTGCATTCAAGGTCTGACTGTTAGTGACAGTTGAATGGACACTGGCTGTCCTTGACTCCAACACCTGGTGTAAACGATTTAAACAGATATAACTAAGCTAAAAGAGGAGGGGAAAGCTTGACAATGGAAAAGAAATATCAGAGTGAGTTAACTGCAATCAATTCGTCTCATTAGTTAATATCTCATTAGTCCTTCTGACCAGTTTCAGAGGATACCTTATATCTGCAAAAGAAAGCTTCATCAATACTTGACAGACTATACAAAACAACACACCAAGACATCCTCTGATGAACTTAGCGACATTTTTACTAACTGCTCCAGAAACTGCCTGTGAAACTGTCACTCCACTCATGAAACTACTGCCCTCTGTTACTCAATGAGCCTGCTCCAAGCAAACTTGACCCAAATTGAATGATTCTCCCAATGTATGTCAAGGCCCCGTCCACACGAAGTCAAAACGAACACGAAACGCTAATATTTTCCAGAACGTTTGTCGTAAAGACGGAGACGTACAATAAATGTGATCGTCCACACGAATGCATGAAAACGCTGCAAAATGTATGCCAGGCCTGTAAGTGGCGCTGTGGTGCCAAAGCGAAAATAGGCGACGAAATGTTGGGCATGCGCACTAATATTTATACATGGTTGCCCTGCGGGTCCATTTTCGTGGTTCAGTCAAATTCAGGTGCTAAACTATGTCGTCGATATTGCTCTGTTCTTCCTGGAGATATCCCAGAAGAAGAAGATTCTGTTGTAAGCCCGACAGCAGGGTGAGTAGCATGAGCAGCAACCATTCAACACAGTACGGCGCCATTGTTGTTGTGATACTGTGTCGCGCATGCGTGTTTAGAGGTGACGCTATGACGCATGCGTGTAAAAAAAAAAAAAATGCGGTTAGAGCTTAAAGATGGAAACGCGAAAACGGCGTTTCAAAATCTTCCCACTCTGAAGGCTGAATAAAAAAAAGATCGTTTACAGACCCTCGAAACGCCAGCTTCGAGGGTCTGTGGATGAGAGGCTGGTTTGGTGAAAAATTTGTGCGTTTAGGCCAGGGTTTGGCTTCGTGTGGACGGGGCCCAAATCTTTAGATAGATGTGTGTACAAAGGGTCATAATGTAAAACTAAAAGACTCACATCAGCGCTGATGTCATTGAATTTGGTGATAAAGGCATGCTTGACAACATCCACGGCGACCTCTGAGGTTATTACCATGAGTACGTCTGGGAAGAGGACCCAGAAGTGGTCTAAAACAAAGAGACAAAGCAAAATGAAAACACTGTAATTCTTCACATCATAGTTGGTTTGAGAGAAAGCAGTGATTGATGTTTTGTTATGGCTTAACCACAGATAAAACATACATTTACAAGAAAACATTTGGATTGAATACATCCAATGTAATGCTGCATGCATGTTTAGCATTTATTATTTACCGGGATTCCATGAAAACTGCTCCATGTTTCTCAGACACACGATGAGCAGAAGGATATAGTTGGTGAACCTCTCCTTTATGTCTGTGGGAAACAAACAAATCAATCCTGGATTAACCTACTTTTTGCCTACTGCAGCTGAGCTCGATCCCAGAAATTTACCTTGGATTAAATCAGGTTAAAGAGGGAAGGATAAAAAATATCCCCAAATCTGTGATTTTAGTGCAGAGGCTTCCATCACTTCCGACTTACCGCTGTTAGACATCTGGAAGAGGTTGTTCTTTTCAAACTTCTTAAACACACTTCCTTTGATTTCAACAAACTGCAAAACACAGAGGTTTAGAGATTCAATTTGTTTGCTGCAGCAAGTTTTTAAAGAGTAAAAAAATAAAATAAAATGTTAATTAAATTCTCTCACATTGTTTGACATCATTATGGTGAGCAGAGACTTGTTATGGGAGTTGAATGCAACGTTTAGTGTTGTAGCCTGAACCATGATAAGAAGGGCATGAAGGACTGGGTAAAGAAAAGCTGAGGAAAAACACATTTTGGGCAAAACAAGCTAAATTATCCTAAACGTCCACTAGCAGTAGCCAAAAAATGGATGGATGGATGGATGGATGGATGGATGGATGGATGGATGGATGGATGGATGGATGGATGGATGATCAGAAATGACTAGCATGATTTTTCTAAGATAAAAAAAACTTATTTTAAACATGCAGGTGAAACATCCACCAATAAAGGGCTGCTGTATATTTCTTAACTCTTTTAGATGCAAACTTAATTTAAAAAAAAAGGATGTAAAAAAAAAAAAACAACTACAAAAAAACAAACAAAATTTTGCTTGTGTTCATGGTTTAGATGAACTCATCCAAAATAACATTAATAATAATATAGATAGAAAGGTGTATGGAGAATATAGTCATTATGCCAGCTTCCGTCTCTGAATTTTGGACTAAGGGTGAGGATACAGACGTAGAGCACAGCCATTAAGAAGTGAGGAATAACTCCTATAGGCGCTCTCTTCTTCTCCTTTGGCTCAGTTGCTGTCCAGTACAGGGCATCCAGGATGTCTTGGCCAAAAGAAGAGAAAAGGCGATCTGCAACCTGGAGGAAAGACAGTGATCGACTGAATGGTTGACAACAAAAACAGTTAATAAAAAAAACAAAAATAACAAAAAAAAAGCTGCTAAAAAGCTTAAACTTGTGACTGTACCTCTAACATATTGTAGATGATGTAGAGTTTGATGACAGATTGCCCCCGTATGAGGTGGTACATCATGGCATAATCTACGTAGCTCATCATTGAGTAACACAGCACCATGATGAAGCCCTTCAGGACGTCACACACTTGGGCCGGCTGGAGCAAGCGGGAGCCACTGAAACCCCAAACAATTATAGAGCACAAAACTTTAAGTGATTAAAAAAAAAAGTCAGGTCAACAACATGACAGAGCTGTTTCTCTGACTTATAATGAGCTCAGACATACAGCTCTACTGCCCTCTGGTGGTTAACACATTGTTGGGTTAGGATTCATTCCCAAAGCAGATACATAAAATAGTCATTAAAATTCAGATGAGATGTGGGGAGAAAATCAACTAATTGATTATTGGTGATCTATACTGACAATTAAATACTTTAGTGTGCTCCCAATATACTGATGTTAACATAAGCTCATATTATAATAACACAAGTGAAAGTATTTACTCGGATTTTATGAGCTCAAAAAAGGAAAACTCTGAACCCCATGAAAAAACATGGTGTTGGATTAAAGGCATGTATTATTTTTTTCCACTTCACAATTATGCATTAGCCACACTACATTAAACCAAAATAGAAGACTATCAGGTGTATGGCAATAAAAGGATAATATGGGGAACATTTTGAAAAGTTATGGATAATTAACAATAATGACCTATTTCCAAATACAGCATATTTTACTATCAGTTTGTTTGGATAAAAAAAATGAAATAAAATAAAGGTGGTCTCAATTTAGTTCCTGATTTATTACTTCTTATTTACTGACCCGAGGCCGCAGCACGGCACAGTTATGACTCGTAAAAGGGCCAGAATCACCCGCAGGGGCAGCAGGGTGAACACGTAGAGAAACGTATCCAGACAGAGGAAGAAGCCGAAAGTCATCAGCTACAGAAAGGGACAAAGAAAGGAAATGTAAACAAGTGTGTTCATTTCTGGTGAGAGGGATTAATTTCTTTGGTCCATATATGTTTACCTTCTCCAGCTCCTTGGGTATGCGGAGGCAGGTGTACACCCTCTCTCTACGCTCTGTGTATTTGGCCTCGTTATGTTCAAGAAAGTAGCCTCTTGTTAGCTCGGTGGTTATAAACCTGATTAGAGAAAGGTCTGAAAAGAAATAAATGAGGGGAAAAAAAAAATCAAAGTCTAGGACAAACAACGTCATGGAAATACAAATTGACAACTTGGTCTCTGCTCCTCTCTGGTCTTTTCCTTAGACCTTAATTTCCGAATTAAATGCATTACTTCCATTCATTAGTTCAGGAGTTATTTAATACAGGGAATGCAACAGTTGTAGACCAGAGGCCTGTACCATGAAGCAGGGTTACTGGATTAGCAAGGCAACTTCCGGTTTAACCCTGACTTTCCAGTACCATGAGGCTGGATTCATCCTTAGCTAGTCTAATCACCATGGTAACGTACTCTGAACGGCAAACCTGCTCCCAAGCACAGTAGGTTTCAGAGCTGATCTGAATCCTAGAAAAGGCTCCACATAGCAGCCATTCAGCTGTTCGGGAAACAATAACATGCCCATTCATTGAACACCTGATTTAATTCAGAGCGCAAAGAGAACTTTAACAAAACAACATCCCAATGAAGGCATTGAATTGAATAGTTTACAATTAATTTTTCTTCTTCTTTATTTTGACATACCAACTTTTACTTCTGTATTCGTTTTCTCCTGAATAAGGTCCTTACATACTACTGACAATAACTTTTTTTCTTGTACAATTGTTATATGAAGATTAAAAAAACATATAAATCTAAATATATATATATATATATATATATATATATATATATATATATATATATATATATATATATATATATATATATATATATATATATATATATATATATATATGTCAGTGATGGGTGTCAGTGACGTCTTTACAACTGCTGAATAATTCCTCTTCCCTATGATTGTGTGGTTCATAATAATTCATTATTAAAACTCTTTTAAATGGTTTTATGTAACATTCTTATAAAAATTTTCGAAACACTCAAAATGATCAGAGTTGAACATTCAATCAATATTCTCTATGTAATGATTTTGCACAATATTTCGTTTTTAAAACTCATTAACTGAGATGTATTAGGATTTTTAGCATATTTGAATTTATTCCACATTTCTTGTGCACGAATTTAGTGAACTGACGATGATGCAAAAGAAAACAAACATGCAAAAAAACCCAAAAAAAAACAGAATAACGTCAGCAAAAAAAACATCCAGACAGACAAGGCCTGCCACACCTTTTTTATCCCAAATTACCACGTGTAATGTAAAGAATGCAACATAAACGAAGCAAAAAATCAAGCAGGGATGTTTTTGTTTATCTTTTAACTCTTAGTGTTTATTCAACTTTCAAATTTGAATAATTAAAATACCTAAAGCAGTCTATTGTTGATTACTTGCTGCTTTAACAGCAATAATAATATAGATTTTTTTTTATTATTATTGTTTGGTTACTTCTCAAACCTGGATGTGCAGAAGCTTCCTGATGCGCATGCGCAGAGCATCTAGGTCTATTTTAACAAAGATGCAAGCTGGCTGTCTCCGCTCATTTCCACATACCGTTTCCACTAAACTGTAGGACTCCATATAATCCTGGCATGTGATGTTTCTTTCTATTGCGGTGCTGTTCTGGTTCATCTCAATGTTGTAAACACGACTGCTACATCTGGCTGAACCGGTTCGCTACACTGAAATGTATTTAAATTGCGAAGTAAATGTGCTACGATACAGAAAGCAAATACTGTCACAACGTTTGCGGATAAATAGAAACTATTCTCCAATAGCCTGTTTGTTTTTGGAAACTATAGAGACCAGACGGTTTCTCACCTGACAGGTTCCCTTTTTCGCCTCTAGTACCGCCATTTTTCTCATGTAACCCAAGCGTTTCGTTAACTCCCTCTTTCTGTTTATTCTGCTCCGCATTGTTAGTCTTGGTATCTCTCTCCTTGTCTTCCTTTTCTTTTTCCTTTTCCTCGCCCAGACCTGTCAGCGAATCCGCCATCTTCGACAAAACGGCCTCAGCTGCTGCCAGGGAGACTGCGCAACGCGCCGTGACGTCACCACGCACCGTTCAGAAGGTGCCGTCAGAGACAACCTTCTTCTTCTTGTTGGAAGAAGAAGGCAATATACATTTAGTAGTATTACCGCCACTTACTGGTATGGAGTGTGGTTCGTGATGGACTATCTACCTAACATACGTATATATAATTTCTAAGGGGAAAGTATATATATATATATATATATATATATATATATATATATATATATATATATATATATATATATATATATATATATATATACTTATACATTACTTTGTATTCAAGAGTCAACCTTCAAAAGTAGGACAATATAGGTTGAATATGCAATCAGAACTAGTCTAGTAGCCCTCCACATAAAGTGGAATATAAAATAAATCTGTAGATCTATACCACTTTACCATAGAGTATCTAGTTACTGTAAGAGTATTGTTACTTCAGTAATATGAAAAACATATTACAGTTTAAGATGGATCGTGTGTTTGAAACCAAAGTTTATCTGGAAGAATTTGGGATATGATCAAATGAGCTTTTCACTAATTTTAAAGAAATTGGAATGTTTTCAGACCAATTCACATTGCAAATCCACGAGGTGAATAAAACATTATTTGGCCAAATAATGTTTTATTAAATGATTTGCTTAATCAAGAACCAAAAACCTTTAGTTAAATGATTCTTTACCCTCTTTGAAATAGCTAGCAGCAAATAGACATCAGGATTCCACTAAATGACTCTTGGTCATACTTGGTAATGGAAATGTAATGAGCATTTGAGGAACACATGAACACTAATGATATATCAGTGTTTAAACCCTTAGTGAATAAAGCTTGTCTAAGCTTTAGCAACAGCTCAACACATATTCCTGTAGCATAGCGTAGCATGGAGTCCATTCTTTAGCATCAATTAGCATTGTCTTTACTCAGCAGTAAACACACGATATGATTAGCATCATCAAAAGACATATTGCTTGTTCTGTCCCTAATCATGCCAGACCTGCAAACCTTTTTCCATGTCCATTTGGAAAGCTTGTGTTTCATCCAGTTTTGCAGCTCTGCAGTCAGGGGTTCTTTGTCTCAGTCTCACTGCAGGGGTCTCCTCAGGCTCACACCCAGGGTATGGTTCTCATCCAGTTTGGCTCTGTAAGTTCTGAAACTCAAGAGAAATGTGTTGCAAAAGTTCTGTTTGCAGCAGTTTGGTTCTGAAAGGTTCTGACTTATCCTTGATGGTTCTGGGGATCTGGTTCCCCTGGGGCCCGCATCTCCACTGTGGTGGAGATCCAGCCACAGTGGGCCCCAGCCATGAGCGCAGTACTAGAAGAGACCAGAGGCAAAAGGAGGCAAAAGAAAAAGAATCCCGTGTGCTCTGTGGTTTTGTGGGGGGGGGGGGGGGGGGGGGGGGGGTCACACCTCTGGTGGCTCTCATGTGACTTGCCTGTGGAGGCCTTCCCTGAAACGGGGTTGTTGCAGAGATTCCACAGCTGATTCCACATCATCATGTCAAGATGAAATATGGACACTGGTTCCCGATATCCAAAAAGTATAATCATGGCATATGGCACAACAATGACCAGGCAATAACCAATGAACACTGAGGGGTGGCCGAATGTGGATAGGCGCCAGAACCTCAGGGTCAATCTACATTGTTCTAACAGGAACGAGCACATCATCCATATTTTCTAAATAAAGACAAACTATACTTTCCTACAGCCTTTGCTAAAAAAAAAATAAATGCTTATATTTAAATACCGATGCTATCTAAATAAAAGGTATAGTGGACAAAATGTCTGAGGTGACCATTGCTTTAAATCTCAGTGGTTTACCTTTGGCTCTAATCCACGTAGCTAATACAATATACCAGATGATGTTCTGCTTTTGCTTTTTTTGTTTGTTAATATTGGCCTACTTTACTTAGTGTAACATCTTCTGATGATTTTATTCATTATTATTGATTTTATATATTTTATTGTGGCTTGTAAAAGCTTGTTTCAAATTACACTAAAACTTTATTTGGATTGTGTTTTTTTTTGCTGAACCTTTAAGGTTATATCATTTTAATTTAATGGAGAGATTACATTTTCTTTTTCTTATCTTAAGGGGATTGTACGTTTAAGTACATAAAGAAACAAAATGTCTTTTTGAAGTCCTGCAGCAAATAATTGAATAATAATGATTTTCATTGCATTTCCAGGGCTACCCAAATAACTTTCTCATTTTTTGTTTTTAAAAATTACTGAAATGACAGCCAAAAATATCATTAAATGGCATAGTTTACTGTAAGCCAGTATCATTTTTCACTGGCCTGGTCCTGCTAAGGGAGATTTCTTTTTATGGTTTCCTAGATTCCTGGCAGCACCCCTGCATATTGTCATAGCATCATGTTGAATGGTACAGTAAATACAAGGACTTCAAATGGCGGAGATAATAGCAAACCTTTGAATGATTTAATATATGCTGAATGGCTGACGATCAGCTTCCACAGACTCCCAAACACACCCCGATAGCTCTGGTAATAGTGATTTTACTAGTCTGTGCATACTTATTGAGTCTGGGGCAGGCAGCATCCCTCTGCTGTTCAGGCACATGAATTACCCTTAAATCACACAAAAAATTGATAACTACCAGCATGGAATTTAAGACAAAGGTGAGAGCATGCAAAAAAAAAGGTTATAAAAGGGCAATTGTGACATACAATTGCAGATTTGTGCAATTGTAATTACAGATTTGTGTTTAGAAACTTAACTGTAATTAATCTGAGGACAAAAACATTATTTCCCATGAAAAATGAATGAATCAACATACATTTACAATTACACAAATACAATGTAAATGCAGCAGAAGCTTAATAAAGAATTTTCTCTTGCTGAATTCATTTGTGATTATACTACAGTAGATAGCATTTATCCAACAATTGAAATATGGTCATCATTTCCTCTGTAGTTCATTTTCTGTCTGTGACTTGGTAACTCGTGAAAGAGGTCAGATACTGTCTGTTCATTCATTATACTACAGAAACCGGATTTTCAGTTCAGACACATGAAATCAGATGGAAATAGATAAAATTCTTTCTGGTTTGACTCTTGGGCGAACATCTTTTCCATTGTCATTACTTGCCTACTTTTATCAGCAATTATTCTGCACACTATTTATATTTAGAAATACTAATATCTACAAAAATTGATAATTTAATAAGTTTGTATTTAATTAGTTATTTCACTAGATGGCTTGCAGAGACATAATTTTCTCTTTACCCCATAAAACACAAAATCTAGTCCTGAAAAGAGCAAGAATTCTGTACTTATCTTTATCGTTAGTATATTAATGTGCAGAATTGACCACTGTTTTGTTGTCCAGAAATTGTTAATGTGTGAAAAATTAAAGTGTTTTTCCGCCATCTGTATTAGAGGGAAATAAATGGTAGGGGTGGCCAATGATTGACCATGGCCAAACCGGGCCCCCCATCTAGCTCCGCCCCTGCTGCCTACTGAAACCATTTTAAACTTTTATGGTATGGATGGCTTTTCAACAGGCTGGGCCACTGCTAAGTTAACATGGGTATTTATCCCATTGCAAGAGCCTTTTCTATTCCAAGTGTGTTTAAATTGTTTTATTTAACCCCAAGCTACAACATATACTACTGATTTGTTTCAGTAACAAACAATATTGTGTTATGGAAATCAGTATTAAACTCCATCCACCCCATGAGTTCCCATATTCCATTTAGAAAACCTCTTGAGTTCCAGCATCCAGTGTAACAAATATAAAAAAAATCTGAAATGTCTATTCTCCACCAGGGTTCCCTCTAGAGGAAGCATCACTCCAGCCACTGGGTTTCAGACATAAAATTCTAAATTTATTAATCAGATTTTCTAAAATATTCAGACTCAAATAAGTTGAATTGCTTTTATTATCTACAGCCTCTGATGTAAAGAACCAAACAAAGGTAATTTTCTTCAAAAGTATCAAACTTTTATTAAACATTCCATTCCACAGAATTACTACAATCGATTTCTATTCTCCACAACAGGTCAGGAGGGGCAGCGAGTGTCACCATGAGTCAGTCATGTGGAAACTGACCTCCTTCCTGTTCTGCTCTTCGGTCCCAGCCGAGTCACGTGATCTGCCAATGGAAACCTGGAGAAACGTTCAGACAACAGTGACTGTGGGAAGTACTGCATCACAATCCACTACGGCCATGCATGACAATCCAGTGCAACAAAGGTACACTTCCCCCGGTTTACCTGGATTTTTTTACAATCCGCGGACCGAGGAAAGGTTTAGGAGTTTCCTCTGGGCGCCGCCACGGAGAGCTCAGGAGCGACTCCTACCGGACAGATAGGATCGCGCCACAGCGCCGCTGTGGGACAGATAAAGCCCAACCATGAATCATGAAACAGATATAACATGACCAGGTCTAGAGTTTAACAGATGTACATACAATTCATATTCGTAATTGCAACTCTTCACAACAGTTTTCCTCGTGTTCAGTTATTGAGTTTGCATAGCAAGCGGTTCCACAGGGCCACGCTAACCGGTTCATTCCGGTTTCCAGGACGAGTCAAACAGCTCCTCGAAGTCTCTCAGTTGGTACTCCAGAATGTCCTCGAAGCATGAATCCAGAGCCGCGGACACACTCCTGGGAGACAAAGCCTCGCAGTAGATATGCCCTGAAAATTCAGTAGAAGAGGACTCCATTAACAAGGCGTCCATCTTCATATCTGCATACACATTACTCATCAGATACTGGGTAGTGTTTCTAGGCGCCATGCCCCCGGGTGGTGGAGGGGACATAGAGGCCGCAGCAACACGCTCCTCAACGCTGGAACCCACATTCTCTTTCTTCTTTGGTTTCCCGGTGTGGACAACGAAAGGCTCGAGCCTAGCCCGCTGTGCTAACCTTTGCGCCCTGCTGGGGTGTTTCTGGAGGGCCGCATCGTTTCGGTTCCTCTTCAAGATTAATTTCTGGTCGGCAGGATCAAGAAACGTCGTCCAAGTGCCTCTATATCCATGTCGCAGATACTCGGGTTTAGTTGTGTTGGTATTCATCATCTCTAAGCACATTTCTTACTTGATGGGGGGGAGCCACGAGGGGAAAAACTGCAGATGGTTGGTTTCCTCGCTTCCTCTGGAACTTAAACTCCTAGTATAAAAACAATGATCCAAAAGTGTCCACAACTCTTTCCTACTATTAGTTCTCAAAAATGACTAAAAACAACGAATAAAATAGCAATCCGTTTCCCCTATCTGTACCACACTATTCCCTGTGAAGATACGTGAGATATGTCGGCTAACGTATGAATGACGATGTATTTGAATAGAGGAAACCACCCAAAACCCCTGCCTTGGTATGGGTAAATCCCAAGGTCGCCCTCTAGCGGTATGGAGGGGAACTAAACACACAAGTGTGACTAAATCAATAATCCATTAATTCTATTAATATTTTGGCAATTATTTACAAATGAAAGTCATAAAAAAATCTATTTTTATGGGCTTATACAAATAAATCAGAATGTCATAAAAATGTAGTTATTTAAATTCATGTTGAAACTTGTTTGAATAATCAATGTGTTAAGCATTTACTTTAGTTAATTTGAAGGAATTGCTAGAAGCTGGATGTTCAATGTTTTCTTTTAGCAATACTATTCAATAAATATGTAAAAGAAAAACTGAGAGATACATTTTTTAAAGATCTGTCTGTCTGTCTGTCTTTCTAATCAAAAATGGCAACAACAAAAGAAATCAATGGCTTAGAATTTATTTTTTATCTAAGTGCTGTCTGAATTTGCTGCAGGCTCCTAAACATGCTTATAAGTTGTTCAACTCAAACTCACTTCATGCTTTAAACATCTAGAGTATTTAACAAAATCGTTATATTTTAAAAAGGTTCTTTTATGGACGGTGATATGTTGATTCATGATTGTTTCTTCTATTTTTGAAGATTTCCCGTGTGATTGTATTTCTCATTTCTTCCTAAAGTATGTTAACTTTTTTTTGTAGCATTTAATTTCCCATTAAATTTGGAGAGATTTTATTTGATTTCCTTTATCTTCTTTCATTTACGATTATGTTTTTTTTTAAGTTTCATATAACTCTTAATTGCAATAGGCTTATTTTAATCTGACAATATTTTTCAGTCATAATTTTTTTCAATACGGCAATGAAGCAAAATCTAATAATAAAATCTGTAGCCTGCTTTTTCACAGAGCTGCTTTAAATATCAGGACATTATTTAAGCAAGGCTCTCAGAGGACCTTTATGTTTTAATAAACCACATCTATCATTTGGATTAATAAATGTGCATAATTACACAGCTGACTGATTAACAAAATGCAATACACATAATAAAACAGTTGATTTGAAGTAACAGTTGCAAAGGTTAATTTCTCGCATGGATGAATGTGTGTGTGAGAGCAGGAAGGAGGCGCAGGATGAGGATCGAGTTTCTGCCAGTGAGAGATCACCCTGACGCTCCTGGGTTCAGTTTCTCCTCCCGTGTGACTTAAACATGAACACAAGCGACATCAATCCATGAGTCCAAACCTTCCTTCTGTCCAGACCCAGAGGAGGCGGTGAAGGGCTCTTTGAACTCATGGTGATCAGCGCGCGCTCCCAGCACAGCGCCCTGTTCCTGGGCCACCATGGGCTCCTAACATGCCTTCTCTCTGGAAACGAATAACATTCTCGGTGGCCTCGGCGCTCTGCCTCTGCTCGGTGGTCCTCCTGGTGGGGGCCCTGTCCACGGAGCGGTGGGTGATCGGGAGGATCCTGTGTAAAACCGGTGTGGACATAGTCAACGCGTCCAGTCCAGAGCTGGAGCAGTTTATTGGGGACATTTACTACGGTTTGTTCCAGGGAGGGAAGACCAAGAGGTGCGGACTCGGGAACAGGCGCTCCAAAATATACAGTAAGATATAAATGAGATGTGGATCTGGCAGGAAATACTATTTGCTGTTCTAAAACACCCCTAAAATTAAATCAAGTTCTTGTGGTAAGATGCAATATTATATGGTATTTATGAGGCCATACAGTCAGCTGAATTGTGATAAACTTGATATAAAGATGAAGGCACCAGCTCAGGGTATAAAACTGGAGACAGGACAAAACTCTGGTTTGATATGCTTAATGCTAAAAGCAGTAAAGATCTCCTCTGCTATGCCACCATCTGTTGTTTGATGAAGAGCTGCCCATAATGATCTTCATTTTATAAACAGCTCTCCTCTGTTTTGTTATATCATCTCCAGAGGTTCTAACAGAGCAACCAGAACTCAGAATTTTAAGCTTCTTCTTTTTTTCTCTCCAGATATTTATATTTTTATATTTTAAAAACACTGTACAGTACAATACTCTATTTGTTTTAATTTTCTATCTGTTATTTTATACACTTCTACTATAACCTTTTCTATTCAATTAAATAGATTTTATTTATATAGCACCAGGTCACTACACATGTCATCTCAAGGCACTTTACAGAGATGATTCAAGCAGATTCAGATCGATTAAAAGTTTTCTACTGAAGAAAAACTAGTTGATTGCATCGACTTGCATTGACTCGGATAAAATCCCTCAAACTAAGTATGCTTGTAGCGACAGTGGAGATGAAAAACTCTCTTTTAACAGGAAGAAACCTCCAGCAGAACCAGGCTCAATGTGAGCGGCCATCTGCAGAGGCCGACTGGAGTTCAAGGAGACAGAAGCAGAGATACAAAAAACAACTGTGTTCCAGGAAACACACAGCCAGGCAGTCGAGAGCCGAGCTTTTGCTGCTGTAATACCACATTCTATTCTATTGTTTTCTATAATTTGCTCTGATGCTGCTACCCTGCAGAAGCCACACATCCGCTCAATAATAAGCTGTCAATTCTGCATGAGTCTAAACTGTAGCATAATAACAGACCTGGCTACTCTTTTTTTCTGATTCATATTTATCCATTCTACATATGTGGGTTTAGTCTCTATGTGTGTTGATATGTATGGAAATAATTTATCAAGTAATTTTTAGAGCTTTCACCAATCCAACTTTAAAAACCCCTGAAAAACTGCTCCGAAATAAGAGTTATTCACCACATGGGGTCCTTCAGTAAGCCTGAAGTGTATAATTATTTGATAAAGAACATATGTCTATATTTGTCTATATGCATTTGCATGATTTTTGCTGTTTCTTCCTCTATATATATGAATATTTAGGAGAAATTCCTTATTATTCTTAAGGAGTTATCTCACCTCCACATTTTGTTTTTCCCATTGATTGTTTTCATAATTGTGTGTTTTTTTATATACTTTGCAAATAAAAAGAAAATTTTCCAGCATAGAACATGACAGTCTGCAATGAATGACCAGTTGTTTACTTGCTTTAATAGTTATACATGTGCTCTGTAGAACATGTAGAGATTTTTATTTATTAAAATAACTCTGTTTATATTAGAACAATAATGACCCCTGTATAAAATATTTACAGTTTACACTGATTCATCTTAATAACACTAATTTAAGGCATAACTCATATGGAGATTATATAAGTGTTACCGTTTTCGAATCTTTAATAAAATTTATTTCAAGTTTTAGATATAGTTTTATGCAGATGCTGGCTTTTCTTGGTCAGGAGCATTTTTCACTTGAATGTTTTTTTGGTCAAAGTTAGGGGTGTTTATTAAGGACAGAAAATACATCAATATGAGTTTCACACTCCTCTAAAAGCTTTTCCATCTGCTCTGTTTACTTCTGCAGTTTTTCCCAAGCTGGTGCAGACGCTGAATGGTGGTCTGCACATGATGGTGATTATCTTCCTGCTGGTGGCTGTGGGCTTCGCCCTGGTCAGTCTGTCCTTCTGCATTTACAACGCTCGTAAAGTGCCCTACCAGAGCATCAAAGGTCACAAAGGACTTTACCTGTGGAATTTTATCGCTGGTAAAGAAAGAAAAAAGAAAAAAATGTGTTTCACTTCCATCTCTTTTGCATTACTCAGCCTTAGTTTTATTTCCTATTCAATTACTGCTAGTCTGGCAGATATAGTTGTTTTTTTCTGTTTTTTCAGCCATTTCTCCAAAAGCAGTAGAACCATACAACAGCGTAACAATATAAACATTTAGGCATATTATATTTTATTTTGAAAATTGCATTCAAAATATTTATACCCTACCTAATAATCTTTAATAGTAATCAAAGCCATCTTATAATTGCTGAACACTGCATTTCCCAGAGTTCAATTGTTATGTGACTGTATATCTTTAGTGATGAGTCTCAAGCTCTCGAGGTTGGAGGGTCTCCTTGCCATCACCATAATCTCCTCTAACATATTCAAGCTGAGATCGTTGCTCGGACTGCTCCAAAATGTTATGCCTCTTCTTGGTAAACTAATAAATATTCCTCTTTTCCTTCAGCTGTAAGTTAAATAATGCTGAAGCCAGTATAACCTGTAACACAAAGCAGTTTAATATCATATATATTTAGTTTTTAATGTTTTGCTAGACTTGTCACATTTGCAATAGTATCTTTTATGCCCTATTTCAACTGTGACAAGTCCATAAATATTTAAGTTATCTAAAGATGAAACCAGCTGTTGATCTGATCTGATCTGCACAGATACCTTGAGGGGATTACTGTCAGCATATGTAGTCTAAGCATCAGATTTATAATGAATAGGCTACCTTCTGTAATAGGATTGAGGAAGTGTTCTGAATCTGAATGATATTGCTTCTGTAAAAATAAACAGATAAATACTTCTGGTATGTATACAGAACATATAGACTCTCATGAATGCTTATCTGTTACTCAGACTTTTTTATCTGTTTGATTTTTTTCTTTTTTCCATCCACAGCTCTTTTTGGTGCCCTAGGTCTTCTTTGTTTCCTAGCAGCCGTGAAGCACCATCGTCTGACTGAGCGGGTGGCAAACTATCGAGAGAACTTCTTTGTCCTGGAGGTCCTGGAGGACATCTTGGACTGGTCTTTCTGGCTCGGGGTCGGCAGCATCGTGACTCACTTCGCCGTTTGTGGAATGGTTGCCATGAGTCGCATAAAGCTGCCCAAACCGGAGATCAAGAAGCCTGAAGAGCCAACAATCTCTGCCCTGGACCTACTCTATTGAGAAACGCACACAAAAAACTGCTTTGTTTTTCAGTCTGGAAAACAAAAACCACATTCAGTCTGAGATTTGTAATAATGCTGCCTGATTCAACCTACGGTTATTTCAGGAAAAATATATTTAAAGGACTTTTAATGATGATTTGTGTCAAAAAATAAGTATCTGGAAATAGATGTATTAAAATTTTGTTTTGTAATATGTTCTTTTTGGTTCTGAACGGACAAATAATAACTTTGTCACTTATTTAAAGGCATCTAAAATTCAAAACAAGAAATAATAAAAATGTTCTTAATTTGGAAATAGCCAACAAATCACAAAATGCAGAGATACTGTATAATAGAGAAACATATCCGTCCGTCCGTCCGTCCGTCCGTCCGTCCGTCCGTCCATCCATCCATCCATCCATCCATCCATCATGAACATTCATGAAAAAAAAACCTTCCCCCGCAGCCTCATCTGACTCTTTTACATTCTGAGACGTTAGAAATGAATTTAATGGTCATCCTGAAGGATTTCAACCATCCTAAGAAAGACACTCCTTTCAGCTGCTTGGATATTTGCTCCTATAGGTTATAATCTACATCTCATAAACACTGGTGGGTTTCTAATTTCAAAATGCCTTTTTCATTGTTGATCACTTTCCTTAATCTATAAGCTCCCCAATCCATTGACCCATTTTCCTGAAAAAAGTAACCTAAGATATAACAGCTGATCCCCAGGAACGGAGCAATTGGGAGTCCTATAACAGACAGTCTAGTTCCTTTTAAGTATTGTTTTCAATTACCAGAGAGGTATTTTTTATTTCTTCTGCTCCTTAATTCATGGCTTTTTGAAAAAAATATATTTTTGCTTTTTACTCAACAATAAAAGAACATGTAAATATGACGATATAGCCTGCTATGACAGTATGGTTTTCAGCACCATTCAAAATGTATTCCTAAATAAACATTTTCCACATCTTGCCAAATATAAATTAGAATGCATTGTATTGGGATTTGGTATGATAAAACAATAAGTAACAAAAAAAAAAAATGTGGTAATGCAATGATCTTTTTTTTTTTAATCCATATTTAGTCACTGCAGTCAACTTTTCTGGGAACCAGTCTTTGTTGCAGTTTCTACCAGCTTCACCCAAAATAAAAACTACATTTTTACACATTCTGCTTTGCAAAACCTCTCAAGCTGGATTAGAATGATTGCCTGAATCTACAAATCTCTGTTTTCCGGACTTACCAACATTTTGGACATGACTACACTTTAATCTAAACCCCTCTTTTATAGGTCTGACAGTACTTTTTTTTTTTTTTTTTTTGCTAAAACAAAACAAAAACATATTGGCAGAATAGAGCGATGGTGCTAAATATGAGCAAAATAAAATATCTGGGATTCTTTTATTTTGCAAACTACAAAATAACGTCATGTGGCTTCCTTTAAACACTGATTTTCTCATTGCCTTTCATCAGTGATCTGTGGCATGCAATTCTAATAGTTGTCAACGCAACACAGTTTCCCATGTGAGCTCTCCTCTTCTACTGGAGCCTCCTTTAACCTGCTTCCAGGATTAATGCTTTCCTCTTCCAGTATGTCTGTTTAGGAGGATGATGAGCTCATGTTGGTAGGTTTACAGTACAAATCTTTATTCCATTTTTATAACATAACCAACTTTAGATCAGTCCAAATCATCAGACCTGTACTCTGTTTTCTGATGTGTTCAACATGTTGTTAGGTTTCTCTAACAAAAAACTGAAGCCTTCACAGATTCCCTTGATTTGCCTTTAATTTTTTATTGAACAACAGGCTACATACACAATTCATATTCACACACACACCTGAGTAGGTATACATATAAATACACAGTGAATATATGATCCTGCCTAATCTAAATGATTTATTTTTCATAAATATAAGCTTACATGATTTTTTTTTATACTGCTGCAAATTTTAAAAATTCACATTTTTACTTTTTTTTTTTAAACAATGCACTTTTGAGGAAACACCTCTGATGTCATCACCCTAAGCACAGGCTCCCATCAGGACTGCGTCCCCAGATTCACCACCAATCACATCATGAAGTTTGCAGGTGACACCACGGTAGTGGGCCTCATCAGTGATGACAATGACCAGAACTACAGAGAGGAGGTGGAGCACCTGGTGGACTGGTGCAAAGACAACAACCTGACCCTGAATGTGGAGAAGATGAATTAGATTATCGTTGACTTCAGGAAGAACCGGCCTAACCACGCTCCACTGGTCATCAACAGCTCAGCTGTAGATGAGCAGACATTTCCTCCCAGCGCTGGGTGTCCCGACCCAATAATATTATCAAAGACCCCTCAAACCCCGACCATGGACTGTTCTCCCTGCTGACCTCTGGAAAGAGGCTTCGAAGCATCAAATGCAGGTCCAGCAGATCCCATAACAGTTTCTTCCCCCCACCAACAGGCTACCTGTAAATCAAGTCATAGACTTTGCATTACACTGATAATACCAAACGAAAAGTACTGCATATTTGCACCATGTATTAATGCTCTGAACTTCCATATCAATTTGTTTTTGCACCATGTTTTTTTATCACTGATGCACTTTATGAAATAAATAAATGTTAATTTTGCTGTCAAGCTGCTCCTCATGCCTTGTCTAAAAGCTGAACAAAACGAAATTTGGTTTTGTATACCCTATACAAAATGTCAAAAGTTGTCTATGTCTAAGGTCTTTCCTTTCCCTCCTTTATTATGTTGGTCATATCAAATTTCATTAAAACATAGCCCACAGGTTTGTGCTTTTTATGTAAAACAAAAGAATAGAAAGGAGTTCAAAAGGTTTTGATGATGATTACTTTTTAAAGACATCAAGAGACTATTTGAGAGATGATAGCCAAAAATATTTTAGGCCCAAGATAATGTGAAAGTTTAAATTCTAAAAAAATAAAATAAACTAAATAAATGCTATTTTTGAATCGGGTTAAAATTGTTTTAAAATTACCAGAAGTACTCAATGTTTTTCAAGATTTTTTTCCAGCTTTATTGGCTGAGGAGATTTTTTTTAATTCAATGTTATTTCTGTACCTGAAGATGTGTCTCATCGCCGCCAGGTGGCGACAAAGTCCCACCACCTCCTATCGGTGACGCCACTTAAACGCGACTCATTGCTTATGTGAGTGTCTGACCTTCTAGCGGGGTATAACCAGGATACTAATTCAGATTAATACATGCCCAACAGGTGACAATGTTTGCTGTGAGGAAAGCTATACAGGCGACGGCGAGGAATCAAATCTGCAGGCCGTTTTCTGCCTCTCAGACTTACCTGCAGGAGAGAAAAGTGAGTAAATCACCTCCCAGTGGCGCAGCAGTGATCCTAGGAGCCGCTATAACAGCATGGTGTGGGGCTGTGTGTGTGTGTGCATCTATAGGGTCTGGTCCTGGGAGTGTTTGAGAAGGAGGCAGAGGATGGAGGTCTGCATCTAACAGAAGCTACAGCCAGGTTTGACCAGTCTCTGTCTGGAAAGCTCTCAGAGCTCCTGAAAATGTGAGTTTCTTTGTGCATCTGATCATCAGTCTGTGGATGGATTCTGTAAATGATCAAATATCAATCAAAGTGTTCCCATTGGTGGAAAGTTGAGAGGAAGGAAGAGGTTTCTGCTCCATAGAGATACATGCAAGACTGGATGAAGCAGATGATATGGGATGTGGAGCACAACTTTTGGAGCCAATGCAGACATGTATGCCTGGGAAGCCCATATAAATAAATATATATATATATAAGGCATGTAGTCCAGTGACTGTAAAACATGCCTTTAACTGACAGAGGAACCCACTTAGAGCACTAATTATACCAAAATTGTAAAATAAAAAATAATAATAATAATAAAAAAATAAATATATATATATATATATATATATATATATATATATATATATATATATATATATATATATATAAACATCTTGCATTTAAGATTATATGCTCTATCCAGAACTCTTCAAGTGGAGTTTCACCTGGTTTAATTTAGTAAAAAGTTTTTTAAGGAACCTTTGCTATCTGATTATTATTCGATTAGTTGAAAAAATGATCAACAGGTTAATCGATTTTTAAAATTATATATATAAATTTCCAGCACATAACTGCAGGTTGTAAGATGCTAGCAGGGAAAGCTTACATAGAGCGCCATAACCAAGTGGATGGAATAGTGTACAGGAACATCTGCGCAGAGTATGGGCTGGAAACCACATGGTCAAAGTGGGAAACACCAATAAAGATAGCAGGGAATGACCGATCCAAGATCCTGTGGGACTTCTAGATACAGACGGATCGAATGGTGATGGCAAACCAACCAGACATTGTGGGGGTGGACAAAGAGCAGAGGGAAGCTATTGTGGTTTACGTAGCAATACCAAGTGACTGGAACATCAGGAAACAGGAACATTAGAAACTAGAGAAACTCCAGGGGTTCAGAGAAAACCTGGAAGGTCAAGGCATCAGTAGTCATTCAGGGCAGTGACCCCCAAACTGGAGGAGTGGTTACAGCAGATCCCTGGAAATACATCAGACATCTCAGTCCAGAACAGTGCAGTCCTAGGAACAACAAAGATACTGAGCAGAACCATCAAGCTCCCAGGCCTCTGGTAGAGGACCTTAGCAGGAGGACAAAGTGGGGGAGACCACCTGCGGTGGTTGAGGATATATATATATTTTATAGATCTTTTGTTTTTGTATTTTTCCTCAGTGCAAGCCCTGGGCTCAAGAAAGGGAAAACCAGGATATTTTATGGAATCCACCAGGTAACAACATGTTGTATTAATATTTGACCTCCAGTCTTTAGTGGCTTCTGAGTGAATCAGGCTGTTGTGTGTATCAGGATTTTCCTTGTGTGGCAGTCGTCGGATTGGGAAAAGGCAATGAAGGCTTTTGTGGGGCTGAGAACTGGGACGCCAGGAAAGAGAACATCAGACATGCTGTGTCGGGTAGGACGAACACTGTGGACTCACTGTGGACGCACACTGTGGACCCACTGTGGACGTACACTGTGGACCCACTGTGGACGCACACTGTGGACCCGTCTCAGACAGATTCTCATAAGGTGTTTTCTTAATGAGATGTTACTGTTCAGCTGGCTGTCAGATTCTTCAGGAACTGGAAGTGAACCACATCGAAGTGGACGACTGCGGCGACGCCAAGTCAGCTGCAGA